GCCGACAATAATCCGACCAATTGTTAAAGAAATTCTTTTGTTAACTCTGGAGAGGAAAAATAAACTCCATCCTCTGTATATGGACACAGAAAGAGACATTCATCTTTTGGATGTTTAGTCATCCAGACACAGATACACACAAAATTAACCTGCAAAGGATAACTCATATATAAAGATTTATTGGAAGGGTGGTTAAGTAATTATGACAAAACAATGCTTGCTTTCTATTTTGATGTTTGAAAATTGAAAGCTGATTTAATTAAATCAAATTTAAGAATCAAACATGCTTGACCACAAACACAAGGCCATAATGTCCCTTGATATCATTCTGAAAAACAACGCAATGCTTTTCCCTCTTCTCCTCTTCTCACTCTCTCAATAGCATGTCGAAAAGGTGACAACATGTTGGAATATTTCTCAAGTCCACTTTATGTCACTAGTAAGTGGGAAGCCTCCCACAGAAACTTCAGAGGGATGTGACAGCAAACACAAAAGGGAAGAGAAAAGTGGGACAACAGTAATCCTCCGTTTGAAGTGAATGAGATTTAAGTCAGAAAAAAACATCATCATTCATGCCTTGATACTTCATTACAGACTCGGCTCATTGCCTTTCACGGGGAATTTTATGATGCTTTACTATAAAACGAGACTAGAAAGGCAGAGAGAAATGTTAAAAAAAAACACTCAATGTTATAGATATTACTAAACCAAGTTGTCATGAAAAAATATTTTATGTGGCCACCGTGACATCACCCACTGATTACTCCACTAGGTATATAAAGCCACACGTTCAGCATATAGCTAACACCACGTTGGTTTTCTGGAGCCTCATTTGAAGGACAGGTTGGTGATGGAGAGGAGTGAGGGGCTAATAGGTAAATAAGCCAACAACAATACAGACTCCTGTGCACTGGATGACCATTTGTATTATTGTACATTGAATGACATAACAAAATAATTCCACTCACGGAATAAGCTTGTGCCCAGACTCCTTAAATGATCAGTTAGTGCAATACATCATGCAGAACGTCATACTATTAGTGTTATTTTTATTTGAAAAATCCCCCAAAAGACCAACAACCCAAACTGTGCCATGGGTTTAATTCAGAAACTGAAACAGCTTGGAGCCAGCCTCAAGTGGACACCCAAGGAACTGCAGTTTTTGCACTCCCAAATTTGGCTTCATTGTTCAACACCAAAGAATGCCGCTCAGTTTTAGACAGTTATCCCTGAATTATGTGATTAAATCAAGTAGCTAGTTATCTGAGCTCATACCAAGAAAGCTAATGTGTTTGGAAATAATAATCAGACAGCCATATATAATCAATTGAGTTAAAACATGTAGTTCACTCAGTGGTTTTTAAGCAGAAGTGACATCGCTTCTGACATCACTTATTGTGGGTCATAATGGAAATAGGAACATTTGCAACTGTTATCTCTTGCACACTGAATTTGACATGCATGTTGGGAAAACATAATGTTTTTCTTAGATCCTAAATTGAATGCATTATTAAGGTGAGTGCATTTTTCTTTGTGAGTTGGAAGTTGGCAAACCAGCTTAATTAACGGCATATTGCACCACCAAGTGGACCAGAGTGTAAAAAGTGGATTGGCAGGGAAATTTGGGAGCAGTGATAAAAAGTAGTTGTTTTTTTTTCCCTACCCAATGTTTGAAATAATGAGATGCTTTTCAAGGTCACCTCAAAGTCTTGACTATTTTCTGTCACATTAATGATTTCAGTTTGTGTACATGCAGCCTCTTGTGCACCACTGGCTGTTCATTCATGGATGAGTAAACACCACTGCTGTGCACATCTATTTGTTTTAATTTCATGTTATGCTGGCATAAAAGCATTAATTACTAGTTTAATAGGTACTCGGATCAGTGCTCGGCATATGCCCATGCACGTAATGAGTTATGCGGATAGGTTATAATGTAAAAGGAAATTAATCAGGAAAATAAAGTGTTTGATAGACCCTTCCGTGTAACTCTTATATTAGTGTTTTTTCTTTACAGCTTTTGGTCACCTACACTACAGCCACGATATATGTTCAATCTCTCCAGGGGTCATGTCTATCATGCAGGGAAACACTCACTCTCACTATACGCAGACGATGATACAGTGTTTGTTACATATCACACAGCGGACTTACTCCCCTACAACCAGAGATGATGGACATTAAAGTACAAATTGCTGGCTCCCTATTTCCTTCCTGTTGCTGTGAAGGTCACACCTTCTCTCTGGGGACATGATGGATGTAAAACAGTCACATCTCTCTCGCCGACTGTCATGTTGGCTGCCATTTCACACTCCCAGAGAATTGATTTCACAAGCATTGCCCCCTTGGTGATAAATAAAAAAAAATGAAACATTCATTTACTAGCACATTTAAAGAGGCAGCCTATATTTCACATATGGCGGGGAATTGTTAACGAGAATATTTTTACATTCTTGTGGCTACTTTTCTATATGCATGAGGCGATGAACCTGGGATTGAACGTTTCTTCACCTCATAGCAGCAGCTCCTTTTCATGGAGCACAGTAGATCAAGCGAGATTTTGTTACATTGGTGTGCTGATCAGAGCCTCTTTTGCTCATTGTTTTTTTTGTCTACTCCAGCATTGTTGCTAAACTTAAATTTGACCTGAGCTTTGATATCCCTACACACAAGCAACATACATACAGAGCTTATAAATGCACACACATCTCAGTATATCCTTAATCATATGAAAAGTCAGCCTGCCAGTTAGAGAGAGCGGCCATGCGAGTGTTGGAAGTGGTATAATCTGTTGGGCTATGTGAGCTGGGAGACCAGCAGCCGAGTCAAACAGTTTTCCCATTTCCAGCCCCAGATGATGTAAGAGCCTAGCGGATGAGAGGAGAGGGAAGAGAGACCTACCCTCTTGTGAAATATCATTCTGGTGCTGTATTGCTCTTTCTGTAATTCTCACAATTGTTGCAGAATTTCTTGCTTTTATTACGTGAATCTTTATTGTAATTCAGTATTGTCTGGCCAGTACAAGCTCTTTTTTTTGTCTTCAATTGTGTTTTATTAAGTCCTGCTGTCCTGCTGAAGAGATGCATTCTTCTGAACTGAACAAACACATCATGTTATTTGGCTAAATACTTATAAGCTTCTTTCTGACCAACATATTTTTTAAATTCCAGTGAGCCAAATCTAGCTATTTTAGTCCATCATGTAGGCTTTCATGACGGCTAGACATGCTGTCTGCAAAAACTGGAATATGCCAGCATCGCCTGGAAGTTGTATTGTAGTCCTCCACTATGTGCTTAATCATAAAAGATATCAATTCTTTGTTGTCACTTTTTACTTTATGGATAATACATTTCATTTGTGGTCACTGGGTTTTCCTAAACATCCCCTCATGTCAACGTCATCCAGTTCAGCCTCAAGTCTGACCTGGTCTGATCCACCCTGTGCCCTCTTCATCCATTTAATCCCATGTAGTGGGGTTTGAAATAATGCCATGTTGTCAGCCACAGAGGCAGACCGATCATGTTGCAGCCGGGTCAAAACAATGTTATAAGCAGCGAGGGAGGCGGGATCAAAGCTGAGCTGCACAGGAACAATTCATAGAGGATGCAAAGTGGCCTGAGCCACAGCAGGGATTAACCCCCAGCAGGAAAGAGTCCTGCAGGGCAGCTCACCTGGAGGCTGTCACCATCACATACTGACACAATCACTCAAGAACACTTTCTTACTATGAAAACAAACACACACATTCAAAAGGTGTTGAAGGCATGGGTGAAATTTGCCTCAAATCAAATTAACAATGTTGTGATTACATTTTTTAACAAAAATCTTTGTATGGCTATAGAAAATATCAGTACAGATAACTGAGAAGAACTACACTGTAGTCTAGGTGTTTGGTTTAATGTACTTATTTTGTCTGTACATGCATTTTACCTTTTTTTTTTAATGATATGAATTAATGATAAATGATTCATAATAAATATGATCATCATTTATTTTCGTAATTACCATTGTATTACCTTTTTTTGGCTTGATTTACTCTGTTATAATCTTTGCTATTGTTGTCATTTTCTGTTCTTATTTCTCGCCTGTTCTTCCTTTGGGAAGCACATTGACTGCATGCGTGTCTGTCTGTCTGAAAGATAGTTTACAAATGAAGGTGAGTTGAATAATGTAATTAAACTGAATTTCACATTGATTTTATAGGTGCAAGATGCGGATACAAATATGTTTATTCTCCCAAACATGGAGGGAGAAAGAGGACAGAAAAGTACATTGCCATCTTACTAATCATCTTTCTAACAATTCAGGAACAACACAAATGAGTGTCTTCTCACCAGAACGCAGAAGATGTGTTGGATGCTCAATATTTATAAGAACCCCCGGACCACCCAGGAGTAATATGTCTTCCCTAGAGGCCAGTTGTTAAACTTAACTAGTAGGCTAAGTATCTGTGTAATTCAAGCATTCATTAGTTGCATGTTCTGCACTCTGTTTTGTTGTTGTTGCTTTTTTCTCCTTATCGCTTGCCAGATCTAAATCAAGTCTGAAGAAAAGTGAATACAGTTCCAAATTACAATCATCAACGTTGTGTTAAAAGATGTCTATGTGATGTGTTTGTACAGTATTTGTTTGTGGGGAAACCTTTGTCTCTTACATGCCAGTGAGTGATAATTAAGTGAATCAGGCAGTGACAGAAAAAAACGGTGAAACATAGTGTTGTTTGAACAAAGGAAAGAATGAAAAATCAGGCAAACTGATCAGTTTTACTCTTAAATGTCGGTCCAGAGACTGAGTTTTTTTCCTGAGTTGAGTAAGTCAGAATATGGCTCTTGCCAAATCTGCTAAATTGCTTGAATCCCATGGTGACTCACAAGCCAAAGAAGACAGAAGGCTGCTCTAATATCAAAATGATTAAAGGTATAAATAAATAGCCAAAATATTGGCAATACAACTAAGACCATGCATATCTGGCTTAAACAAATGTGAGAGGATGAAGTTACCTGGGAGTTCAGAGAGTGCTCCTCTCTCTATAATGTGCTTTCTGTACAGAGTCTTTAAAACCTTGGCGCTGCCGAACCTCTTGAAGCGAATCTTCACATTGTTGTAATACCATTCAAGCGACTGCGTCCTTAAAACCCTGCAGAAGAAAAAAAAGAGATCCAAGGGAGAAAGAAGGGAGGAGGGAAGAAGGAAAGACAACATGGTATTAAGTGAAAAGAACAGATGGCAAAAGAAATGAGCAGGAATCAGATTTCATTATAATTACACCGGGATTATAACTTTGAGTTCAGGCCAAGAATCAATGAAAATCTGCTGTAGTTCAGTGTGATATAATGGGCTTTTTTGATCAGTTTTGGAAAAGGAAGCGTTCTCTGGGATAAAATCAATAAGAAAATGGAGTTAGGCAGGGTTCTGGGTTTGCGTAATTGTACATTTTTTTTTACAAAGGTTTAAGTTTGCTTATTCTTAGACCGTCAAATCCAAAACCCTAGTCTTTGATTTGAAGCAAAAACATGGTATTATTTGAAAATTCTGCTGATTTCCTTTCCCTCTAAGGAGACTGAAGGACTAATGGAATATAAGTATATTTTCACAGTAATATAATGCAGGATCTAAGCCGTGTATTGTTATGTATATGTCTGCAGTGAATGCCTTTAGATTGTCAGAAGTGACGTTGCAGCACATTTCAGACTTTTTCTCCTTTTCTCCATTTGGTGTTTAAATGCCAACCAATTACATAAGCAGTCATTCATAACACTGAGGGTTATGAAAAGCCCTGAGAAAAGCGCTCCCTTTGCGCCAGTGTTGCGTCAGATTGCATGAAACTCTGCCAATTTGGTGTTTAATCTTGCAGTCCGTCCTGCTCTTATTGGCTTTTTTTTTTTTTTTTTTTGTGCCACTTTCACACACAGGGGCGAGGCTCGACTAACACAACGCACAGAGACAGATTTACAGTTCAAGCAGGCAGAAACCCTCAAACACACTTTATTCATTTCCACACCACTCATCATCATTTTATACAGTCACATTTCTTATTTTCAAAGATTATATGCAAAAAATCATTCTCACAGACATGCTCATTTACATGCTGATATATTAGAGTGCAACTATTGAGTAACAGCAGTGTTAGCGGGGGTATTACCTTTGTATATAATTAGTCTGTGCATGATGTAAGAATATCCATATACTGATAGCCTGTGGCATACATTAATAATTCACTAACTGGCCACCTACTTCCATTGTGTAGTGCAACAGAATGAGTGGACTTTGGTACTGTATGTGAATTAATATGTGTTAATCCACACTTTTTCAGTTCTATTTGTAGTGGCATGAATATCAATAGTTAAACATGTAATGGGTTTGATGTCTCCACTGTCTTCAAATACTGTTAATTGATAAAAAAAACATGATCAAAACACTACCAATAACATCCGTCTGTTGATACAGTGGTAATTATTCTGAATTTATTTCTCCAAAGTCAACAACATAGAAAGACCAACACGGAAGAGATTTCCTATCATGAGTAAGAAAAACATTGTGATGTATTTTGAGGGGAATCCTGCTGTTATAAATACTCACAATCCCACAAAATCTGCTGAAATAACCCCCATCAAATGCACCATTCCCTGCTTCCCTGTTTTTTTTTTTTTTTTTTTTTTTTTAGCTGTAATTCACTTTAGAAAAAGGAAACTATATATTTCTGTGACCTTTAATGGTTTATGAGATGGCTTTGGGATGAGATCAGTAGACAGGATGGGGATATTTTTACACTGTTTGTTTTGGTCATATAATTGGGATTGATATAAATGTGACATATAACCAGCCTCTTCCATTTAAAGGATCCATCATTTTAAAATCAGAACCTCTTAATTTGAACTCAATGACCTTCAAATCCACAAAGATTGTCGTGTATGCCAAAACAACAATATGGAACAGGGACTGGAACATTTTCATAGACTGTGAATGTCCATGACCAAGGTCATACAAGTCATTCAGTGTCAAATAAACATTCACACTCAACATACATGGCTCATACGTCATTGACTCAATTTCTCTCGTTATGAAAGAGCAAGGAGAAAGTGAGAGAGTACACTTTGCGTACATGATTAAATGCTTTATTTAGTACTTGTACATGTTGGCACCTCTGCTCAATGAAGAGACAGGCGGTTAAGGGAGAGGGTGAAAATAGCCGTGCTAATAAAGGGAATCTGAGTGCCCCTGAGGCTGCACTGGCTGCCACATCCATCCCACCACTCTCCCTCCTGCTTCTTAACCTCCCTACACACTTCCCTCCCCTCCTCTTTTCTCAGTGGATTTATTATCCTCTGCCTCTATCAGCGGGGCTGCTCAATGGGCCTCAGCTCCTTAATTTCATGCCACGGGTCAACCCAGTCGCTCTAAATGGTGGCCGCCGAGCTCCAGCGGAGAGGCCTGGCTCCTTTTATCTCCCTCTGTGCCCGAGGAAGAAGGCACAGAAATGAATCTGGATGATCAAAGCGTCATTGAGGTGGCATCATACGAGGCAGAAATACAGATAGGTTCCACTGATACTCTGAAATGAGCTGGAGCAACTGGGAGCAACCTCTAAACCGAATCCGGTCACGTTAACGAGTATTGGAGATATGCTAGCAATCCTAATTTAAACATACCTGTAAACCTGAGTAGCATGCATGGTCACACCCTCAGTGTAAGATTAAAAACTGACTGCTTGCTAAATCCCACCTCTTTGTTACCGTTAACTCCATACCTCTGGAAAGGTTTTAGACCGTTTTCAAAAGTAATTGTGGCAGATCTACTTCTCAAAATCCTTCTTTATTATAAAACTTTTGAAGGTGAGTAGAGCGGTAGTTTAAAGCAGGAGAGATGGCAGAAAAAGTTAACCCCCGAATGGGTGGACATGACGGAGTTCAGGGCGACCATCTGGCAGCATGCATGCCTCTGAGCATACAGGGGTCACTCCTGCAAGTGTTTCCTTATGACAGATTCTTAGATGTCTTTACAAATATGAAAAAATTACTCTCAGACATTCTGCAAACTTTACAAATAATTGTGTTTGGCCAGGGGCGTGTCCTTGCTCCTAGCTTGTAGACTGATGTCTGAAGACACAAGGATTACTTTGACTACTGATTTGAAACTCTGCCCACGTTTAGTATAAATATCCAACATTTTAACAAAATGTATGTCTAAAAATTGAAACGACATAATATAACCTCTTTTAAAATATTCAAGATTAAACATTTGCAATCTGCAGTGTCATTCTTTTCATACTTTTGATTAACGATTTATTTTGGGTTTTTTTGTGCCTTTAATGGAGAGATAGGACAGTGGATAGAGACAGAAATCAGGGAGAGAGAGAGTGGGGAATGACATGCGGGAAAGAAGCCACAGGCTGGATTGGAACCTGGGCCACCCGCTTGGAAGACTAAAGCCTCCATACATGGGGTGCGCGCACTAACAACTGCGCCACCAGCGGCCCCATACTTTTGATTAACATGTTAATATTCAAGTCGACAGCACACCTAAAAACCAGACACTTCAAAATTATTTTCCTGTTGCTGGAAAATTTCCAGGAAGAGTTTTGCCTTCAAATACAGCTTCCCAGCGGTGAAATGCTCTCATTCCCAATCCTGTCACTCAAATTGGCACAAAAACAGATGATAACTAAACACAAATTTAAGCTAAGGCATCTGCTCCCTTCCAGGCCAGGCAGCTACACAAACTTGATGAAATTAGCCAAGCTTTCCCTTTCAAAGAAAAAGGAGTGAGAGAGGGATTTAGGACAGTGGGAGAGGCGTCACGATGAATGAAGCATGACATCTCTTCCCTGGGGGGGATCTGATCTAAAAACGAGGAGAGAAGAGAGTGGAGTGGATAAGCAGAGGCTTTCAAGCAAGTGCAGCACTGCTGTGTGAGCTTCGGCAAATACACATTTCATAATGAGGCTGGGAGATTCCCTGATGCTGGGCTGCTGCATAAATAAGTAAGAGGGATTCCTGTGGATGGTCTCCTGACACTGAATCTACACATCCTCTATCATCACTTTGCCTTCGCTCAACTTAGTGGGATCCTTGGGAACTGACGGCTTCCTTCTCATCTTCTCTGCAGACCTTTTGCCCTCTATACTTCAGAAGATTGATTGCACATCTAAATAGGGCCTAAAAAGAAATATATTAAAGAATATGCAGAAAGAGTGCAATAATAAGTATCAGGCTTTGCTAAGTTTCCATCTCCCCTGGCAAAGGGAACTATTACCATAATTGACTTTCTGAGCCTTCTAATGAATTGGTTCAGCTTCTGTTGAGGCTGCTGTTGGGATGTGAGTTAGAGGAGAAAAAAAGGCAAGGGGGATGATTTTAATAGAACATCAAACAAGCTCTCATCTCTTCTGCAAACTGGCAGTGTGACTGTTTGTGTTAATAGAAGAAATAAAACTGAAAATTAGATTGTTATCAGCTCCCGGGTTAGATCAAAGCGTATGATGTTTGGGAAGTTATGACACTCGACTTGAGAGGTCTTGATGAGTAAAAACCATGGGGAGTAATTATGTGTCGTGAGCAACAAGGGCAACAAGCTAAACAAACTAATTCCAGGGATAACTAGATTTGAGTCCATTTATTTAAAAAATTAAGGTTTGGTGAATCCGTATAAAAAAAACAAGGGCTCCTAGCAGCTCTGATCACAATCATCCGGGGTATAGAAGCATCCACAGACAGAACTGGATTAGTCGTTATGCAGATGATACGTTACTGTTCCAACAAGACTTTAAAAGTAATCCCTATAGAAATATTTTACAACTACGCAGCTAACTGATTAATCAAACGCTCTGCAATAATATGGCAGCCTTTGTATTACCTGTTTAACTGTGTGAAGAACTAACATAAAAGAATAATGAGTAGCCCGCCATTCGATGATACCTGACACATCTGTGGACCCCTTACGAAGAGAGTTTCTTTACTTCCTCCACAGTGACATCAAAGGTCAGAGTGGAGATTAATTGTGCTGTTTACAGACACCAAAAGGGGTAATGGGAATACAACTTTTGCTGGAAGAAACTTTTCCAGATAAATAACACAAATATTTAAACTGCAGCACAAATATTTCCTTAGCTTGAGACTGCCGATTCAAAAAGAAATGCTG